GTCTCCGGGGCCTACATATCAATGTCGGACACGGACACGCCTCGGACACACTGTGGACACGTTTCAGACACTCCCAAGAGTACAAAACATAATTTCTGAAACTTGAAGTGGGGATCAAATTGTAAAAAACAAAAATTAAAACAATTAAACCAATTTGGAACCCTAGAATCGAACAGATTGAAAAGAACAGACTAGAGAAAGGCTCGCTGCTGCTGCTGCTCACTGCGATATCCAAGGTATATTCTTCGATTCTCTTCTTCTTCTTGTTCGATCTTCTTCTTGTCTTCTTCTTCTTGTTGTTTGAACTTCTTCTCTCTTCTTGTTGTTCGATTTTCTTTTGTTCACTCTCTCTCGCTCTCCTTTTCTTTTTTTTTCTTTTCTTTTTTTTTTTGTGCTTACGGAATGTAATTTATTTCGTTTTCTTTTTTATTTTTGACCTCTCTCTCTCTCTCTCTCTAATTATTTTTTCTTTTTTCTTTTTTCTTTTTTCTTTTGGCTGATTAGTTTTCTTTGATGGAACAAATAAGTTTTATCTCTAATCACTCAATGCGATTAGCTATATACAGTGAATTTGTGCCTTTGAAGTTGCTTATGGTTGCCGAAACACGATTTGCCTCCACAATTGTTATGCTCAATAGATTGAAGCTTATGAAGCGTGGTCTTTAAGCAATGGTGATCCCTGCCAAGTGGAATTGTTATAGATAGGATGATGTTGGGGAGGCAAAATTTGTCAAAGAAAAGATTTTGGATGATATGTGGTGGGACTACATCGATTATATTCTTTCCTTCACAGGTTCTACATATGACATGCTTAGGACTTGTGATACAGACAAGCCTTGTCTTCACTTAGTGTATGATATGTGGGACACAACGATAGAGAAAGTGAAGATGACAATATATAGGCATGAAAGCAAAATAGTAGATGAGGATTCTACATTTTACAATGCGGCACATCAAATTCTCGTAGATCGTTGGAATAAGAACACTCCTCCCCATTGTATGGCACAGTCATTGAATCCGAAGTAAGTACCACATTTAAAATTGTTTTAGATATTTTATTTTAATGGATTTATCTAATCATTCTTGAAATAATTATTTTTCCTATTTTGTATTGTGGGTACAACCCATGATGAGTGGCTCCATGAGGATCCAAATAGAGTTCCTCCACATAAGGATGAAGAGGTGACACGTGAGAGGAACAAGTGTTTTAAGAGGTATTTTGAAGATATCACGGAGCAAACCAAGGTGATAATAGAGTTTGGAAAATTTTCGAGTTATGTTGAAGCATTCTCCAAATATGATTCCTTTCATAATAAGTGGCACATGGATCCTTACACTTGGTAGTGTTCATATGATGCATATGTACCAACACTTCAAAAACTAGCTTTGAGACTACTTATGCAACCTGCCTCTTCGTTGTGAGAGAAATTGGAGTACTTACTCCTTTATTATTCACTCAATGAGAAGGAACAAAATGGTCCCTCAACAAGCAAAGGACTTAGTGTTCATTCATAGCAATCTTTGTCTTTTATCAAGGAGGAGCTCCCAATACTCGCAAAGGAGAGACAAAAATGTGGGAAATTGCGGGAGATAACTTTGACTCACTTGATGATATTGGAATGCTTGGGATAGCTAACCTCTCACTTGATGAGCCGGCTATGGAAGCGGTCTTATTTACAGATGATGGAGATGGAGAAGATGGAGGCGATGGTGAAGATGTTGTGCTAGTTTCCTCTAGTTAGGTTTACATTTTGTGATGTTTATGATTTTTGTAATGGATGATGGTTGGTACATTGGATAATATTACATTTTGTGGTTTGGTTTTCATGCATTTTGTAACAAATGATGGTTGGTAGATTGGAATGACATGTTAAGTATTGATGGAATGCAATTTTTATGTTATTTGTGAATGATATATGATGTTAAATCAATGAAATTTTTTTTTTTAAATAATTTTAACAGTGTTACTTTGTATTTTTCATTACCTTCAATGAGTTTTTTTTTTCTAATTTTATGACATAATAAATAAATTTAATTATATATATTGAACATGTCCCCAACATGTCGTGTCCTCCATTTTTTGAAAATTTGCGTTACTGTGTCATGTCCCGTGTCTGTGTCCGTGCTTTATAGGGTCCAACTGAACACTGTTTGTAATCAGAGGGCTATGCCTCACCCAAATCAAGACCATCTAACTCTTAATCTAGATTAGGGATGGCAATGGATAACCTACCCTGTGGGTATCCATGGAGACCCAACCCAAATACATGGTTTTCCATTTTTTTCTTATCCATTGGATAGGGTAAGTGATATTCTTTAAATATCCATAGGGGATGGGTTGGGGATGGGTACCCACTAATTTCACCATTTTTTTTTTTTTTTTAAGATTCACAACAAAAACTAAATATACATTCAATCTTTTTTCTTTTTTTTATTTATTTATTTTTTTAGGTTCACAACCAATTCTTTTTCTTTTTTTTTTAAGATCCACAACCAAAGCTAAATACACCTCCAATCTTTTTTTTTTATTATTTTTTTTTATTTTTAAGGTTCACAACCATTTTTTTTTTTTTTAATTTTTAAGATTCACAACCAAAGCTAAATATACATTCAATCTTTTTTCTTTTGTTTTATTTTTTTTATTTTTTAAGGTTCACAACCATTTTTTTTTTTAAGATTCATAACCAAAGCTAAATATACATTCAATCTTATTTTATTTTATTTGGCTCAACAATAAAATCAAATACACATTTATTAACATTGTCACATTATTCTTGTCAAATTTTATGCATATCTAGAATTTTTTAAATTTATTTAAAAAAAATTAAGGACACTGTCTAGTGCAGGTTTCGGTTTGCTTTTCTATGTTATTTTATTTTGTTGTGTATTGTAATTTTCAGAATGGTTTGCTTGTTCTGAAATTTCAATTAACGAGTATGAATCTATTTGTTTTATGTTATCACACAATTTATACAACATATATATATATATATATATATGAATGTATTTGAAAATAAGGAAATTGTAGAGAATCGAAACAAGCATGAGTCGTGATTGGTTAATAGAAAGGATGGGTACAAAGATTTATTTGCTGGAAAAACAAAAAAGGGATACAAAATCTTACTAAATAATTTTTTTTAAAATAAAAGAATTTTTCTTAATTATGAATAGATTTAACTGAAATCAGCTTGTTTCCCAATGTTGTGCTTCATTTATTTAGATAGAAAATATTTTTTAATGAAAAATATTTTTTATAAAAAAAATTAAAAATATATTTTTTTTATATTTGGTGGTGGTGGTGATGAAACGAAGGTGAAAGTAGAAATTGTTACATAGTGGTGGGGTGATGGCGGCAGTGATGATGGTAGTGGCTATGGTGAAGGTGAGAATAGTGGTGATGGTGTTGTGAAATTAGTAAAAATTTAATTGAAAAAATATTTTTTGTTTTTTAAAAGTAACAAACAACAAAATTCGTGGGGGACTAAAGGAAGAAGATGGAGGATGGATTGGGTGTGGTAAGGCATAGATATCTTAAAATGAGTGGTTCAGATTTGTTAAAAGGTATAATTAGATTTTGGATAAATTAAAATGAATGGTTCAAATTTGCTAAGGAAAGATGGTTTAATGTCTAAAATGTCAGTGGCTAAAAGATCAACAAACAATTCCTTGTTTATGCCCTAATGCAATTTAATATGGGTCTTATAACACTTTCTTCAAACAGGTTCTTTCACATTTTATTTCTTCAAACAGGCTCTTATAACATTGTAAATAGGTTCTTATAATATGTAACTTTAGAAAATAAAAAACAAAAGAAAAAAGATTGAATGTATATCTAGCTTTGGTTGTGAATCTTAAGAATTAAAAAAAAAATGGTTGTGAACCTTAAAAATAAAAAAAATAAAAAAATAAAAGATTGGATGTATATTTAGCTTTGGTTGTGGATCTTAAAAAAAAAAATAGTTGTGAATCTGAAAAAATAAATAAATAAATTAAAGAAAAAAGATTGAATGTATATTTAGTTTTGGTTGTGAAGTTTTAAAAAAAAAAACCAAAAAAAAAGTTGGTTGTGAACCTGAAAAAATAAATAAATAAATAAAAGAAAAAAGATTGAATGTACATTTAGTTTTGTTTGTGAATCTTAAAAAAAAAAATAAAAAGTTTGGTTGGGAACCTGAAAAAAAAAAAAAAAAAAAAAAAAAAAAAAGATTGAATGTATATTTAGTTTTGGTTGTGAATCTTAAAAAAAAAAAGAAAAAAAAACAAATTGGTTGTGAACCTGAAAAAAAAATAAATAAATAAAAGAAAAAAGATTGAATGTATATTTAGTTTTGGTTGTGAATCTTAAAAAAAAAAAAAAAAAAAAATAAATAAATAAAAGAAAAAAACATTAAATATATTAAAAAAAAAAACCTTAATTGATAGGTACTTTATGTAAGCTTGTCATACCAAAATAGATCAAATGTTTCTAGCGAACTTGTCGCCAAACCATAATCCAAAAGGTACAAAATATAAACTTGGCACATGACAAAAGTACTTAAAAACATTACTCATCATGTGAACCATGTATTTTTGGAAACAAGTAATCTTACTGTGAGCTACAAATCATTCCTGCAAACAATAATTTTAAAAAAAAAGTGATTGTTAACATTAAATATAAAAAATAAAAATGAGGATTAAAGTGGGTTGGGGAAAATCCAAACCCATTAGGAAATGAGGAGGGTGGTATCCATGGGGAATGGGGAATGGGAAAAATTTATTATAGGGGAATGGGGATAGGGAATTAATATCCACCCCATTAACCCCCATTGCCATCCCTAATCTAGATCATTACATGCTCCACTAGTTCATCTATCACCCACCACCCGGAGAGATACATAGAGGGAGAGAGAGATCACCTACTCGGGAAGATGGTAACTTAACATGCAATAGGCAGTATTTGGCAAAACAAAGAGAGGTAAAAATCTATACAAATTGTTCATTCTTGCAAAATCAGGAGTTACCTCCATCCTCCGTAATATCAGAAGTCCACAAAGTGAGGTTGTCCCGAAGGAGCTGCATGATTAATGTGCTATCTTTATAACATTCCTCACTCAGACTATCCAACTCTGAGATAGCTTCATCAAAAGCTTGCTTTGCAAGGTGGCAGGCCCTGTAACCAAATTACCTTTAAAAAATTTTCACATGGGTTTTCAAAAGGGGAAATGAAACACAAAAAACCAAATGACAGTATGAGTAAGCATACCTTTCAGGAGAATTCATAATTTCGTAGTAGAAGACAGAGAAGTTTAAGGCCAAGCCTAGCCGGATGGGATGAGTAGGAGATAGATCAGACTCTGCTGCAGTAGTAGCTGCCTGAAAAATGAATTACACAAATAAGTGGCTAGATCGAACAACTCAAATCGACAACATTCAATGATAGACCAGATTGACCATCTTAGCAACAATACCACGATGAAGACTATGAATGCCCACATCTTAACTAAAAAAATCACACCCACATGGCACACACACAGTATCTAATTCATTGAATCAAATTATGAATTAGATGGAAGTTGGAACCAGTAATAAGAAACATAATATAAGGGAACATAAACCAAAAGTAGTAGCTTTCTCTACACAATGATGCACCAAGAAGCTCTCTCACCCAAAAGTAACAAATTCAACTATTAGGTGTGAACATTTAAAAAATAGCTTTACTTCTCAAGCATTGATCATTTAAAGGCGTTTTTTATTAGTAGGATTATAGCATAGGATTGGGATTGTTAATCCATGGACCCACAATCCCATGCTTGATTGCAAATTTTATTAACCGGATAATATGTAAGGTACAGGTGATATTCAATCCGACGAAATTGGTGAATTTTTAATATTGAGAGGGATTGAGGATCATAGTTTCAAGTATGAAAGAAAGAAAAAAAATGAATACATAAGAAATGGTTGTTAGTTGGATAACTAATCTTTACACTAATTCATAGGATTATTAATCATTTCACTGTTAATCAAGTTAATCAAACAAGGCCTTAAAGTACTAACTAACTTGAGGAATTACCAAGATACACTAACAAAATGTTTTAACTAAAATCTCACCTTTCCCAACTTTAAGCAGATACAAAACAAAAAATTCCAAGTAAAATGAAAAAAAAAAACATTTGAACACCTGATAAGCTTTGAGTGACTCATCAGCGGCCTCCTTCTTCTCCTTACCAGACTTAAACTCCGCCGAATAGCGATAGTAATCCCCTTTCCTGCAGCCAACAACCGAAACAAATCCTCAAATACACTCAACTTTTTATAATAGAGAAACCAAAATTCAATTTTTCTTAAAAAAAAATTAAAATTAAAATTAACATACTGACATTTTATAGAAAAACACTGATGATTCACCAGCAGAAGAAGATGGAATAAGATAGTCATCGATCACCCTCATAATGTCACTGCAAATGCTCGACAATTCGGACTCAACCTTGCGCCTATACTCCTTGATCCGCTTTGCATTCAGTTCATTACCTTTAGCTTCCTCCTTCTGCTCAATCGAAGACAAAATACGCCACGAAGCTCTCCGAGCACCGATCAAGTTCTTGTACCCAACGGAAAGCAAATTTCGCTCCTCAACAGTCAATTCGACATTGAGCTTCGCTATTGTCTTCATCGATTCCACCATTTCTACACAAAATCAAATTCAAAAAGTAAAAATAAATAATTAAAAAATAAAAAATAAAAACCTAGTTTCAAAAAATTAGCTTAAAAACTGTAGATCTAAAAAAAGAAGAAAAAAGACACCATCGTAGCGTTCGGCTTGTTCGGCGAGCTTGGCGGTGTAGACGAAGTTGTCGCGGTCTTTGATGGAAGCCATGGCCTATCTGTGAAGTTAGGTTTCGTTTCTTCGACTTCCAAGTGTATCGATATATATATATATATATAGTGGTCGAGTGTCTGTGTGGGTGTGTATTGTGTATTTGTATGGGAGAGACTACAGGGTATTGAAGATGCTGTGACCGTCTTGAGGTGAGTTGGAGGAGAGGGCTGTAAACGGAGAGATTATTCGGTGTTACTGGGGCATAGTTAGGTAGTGTTTCATGAATGTTTTGATTGGCTAAAAGTATCTCCAATGCTTACTCAAATTTTTCTTCAAATTTGAGTTTGAGTAAAAATTTGAATAAAAGTCTAGGCTTGGTCTGGCATCCTAAAAAAATTCAAAAAGTTACAAAGGAGCTAAAAAAATTAAAAAATTATCACTATTCACAAATTAAAAATATAAAAAAATTAATTTACACAATATTTTAATACAAATCAACCAATTGATGTGACTCGTACAAACTGATGGAAGTGGACTGTCAAAGGAAAAAAAAGAAAATTAGGTATATATATTCATTAAATTATAAGGTAATGTTGGGCCAATGAAAGCCTATCACGGATCTCATTTTGATAATCTGAATCGTTGAATATGTAAAACTCGTCGAGTACTATATGTTTGGAAAAAATCACGTTGATCGGATATCGCTAACTACATGATCAAATCAGTTTTATATAAAAAATGGATGGTGTTATAGTTAACGGTTGACAAAAAAACTAACACGATCAGATAGCTATCGATATTCGATCATCGTGATTTTTTACAAGCATATAGTACTCGATGAGTTTTACACATTCAACGGTTCTAATTGGCAAAATGGGACCCGTGGTGGCCCCTAAGAGCCGAACAACACCATCCAATTTAAGCCCGAAAAGGAGGCAATCATTTCTCATCTCCTAATCAGCCCACTACACTGTCCAACCTGTACGGCCTACTTCACTAACTTGTCCTATACACTTATTTATATAATTTTTTAATACACATTTTTTCGTAAAAAGTCAAAAAGTTAACCCAAACATCCATATTTTTTTCTCAACTTTTTGGTCTAAAAATACAAAAAGTACACTTATTTAGGACACCTCAAACAACCCATTAATGTGATATGTTGTTACGGATGACAATGGAGAACCTACCCTATAGGTACCCATGGAGACCCAACTCATATACATGGGTTTTATCCTTCTTTTTTTTTTTTCTTTCATGTCGGGTCAAATAAGTGGTGTTGTTTAAATATTCATCGGGAATGGGTTGGGAATGCGTATCCGTCCATTTCCCCTATATGTTTTCATTACCTAGTTTAGAACTAGGATTCTCATTCTTATTCTCACTCTCTCTCATCCTCTCAATCCAACATCGTCTAGAGCAAGCTCGACTGGGCCATTTCTACACTATCTGGCTCACTTGAGACACCCTTAACTCCGTACCCCTCTCTCTCTCTCTCTTCAAATCTTCTATTTCATTCTTGATCTTGTGATTTTTGTAGTATTATGTACTAAAAAGCCTTGACTTTGATCTAATTACGTATTGTTTTCTTTAGTTAAATATTCAATTAGTTTACTTATTTGTGTTTAGATTACCTTTGTTTGGCTACTGAGGAAATGGAGGAAGACAAAATTGAAAGAAGATTTTGATATTTTGATTTTTCTTAGAAAGTGTGTATTAGCATTTTACAGATGATGAAAAAAAAAGGAAGGAAGATTTTGAATTTCTTGTTATTTTAATAGAATTTGAGAACTGAATTTAATTCAACTTAATACTTGTTTTGAGCTCATTCAGCTGGATACTTATATATGTTTTAGTTTTTTTTTTTTTCAATTACTAAAAATTGATTTGATTGTCTCAAAATTATATATTCGATTATTTTAAAACAAACTTCTTAATTAATTAATTAATGTGTATTTGATTTTGTTGTTGAGCCAAAAAAATAAAATTAAATATATATTTAGGTTTGGTTATGAACCTACAAAAAAAAAAAAGAAGTTATGTTGGAGAAAATCCAAACCCATTAGAGGATAGGGAGGGTAGTACCCATGGAGGATGGAGAACGGGGAATAGGGATGGGGAATTAATATCCGCCCCATTGCCATCCCTAGCGTTCTAATCGTTTCATCAAATCTGGCCGATCATTCGACTAGTCATCCAGCCTAGAGCAAATTTTCAACAAAACTTTCCAAGCTAGTCATCCACCCAGTTGTCTTGCCGGTCATCCACCCGGTTGTCTATCAATGGTTGCTTACGAAATTTCGTGAAAGGTTAAACGCGTCATTGATTTGATGAAAAATCTAGCCTCACATTCATTTAATATGGGTTTGATGTCATGGTTGGAGCAAACAAAAAAAAGGACGTGTTTTATCAAATTTAAATTTTATGAAATATCTGAATAAGTGTCAGAGACACTCTAAAGAGGTGTGAGTTGTGATTTTTATTCACCAAAAAAAAAAAAAAAGTCATGACTTTGTGTTGACGAATGGAGAACATAAAGGCTTTGCTTATTTTCAGAGGTAGGACCTTGGGACTGGATTATTAGTGTGTTGGAACTATTAATAAATTTTTTTAGTTCCTTACCTAACAATTCTTACACTAATAATCTCCTCACTAACAATCCCACACAACTTAACTCTAAAAACAAATGGGCCCTAAAAACATCCCCAACAACTTCATTTTCCCTATTTATTATCTAAGCTGGGGAGCCAAATATCAAAATTAATGCTCCAACAAACTCCCTAAACAACTCTTTGTTTTAGCATTTGTATGAAATGCTCCTTAATGTAGAGAGTCTCCAACCTTCCCTAAACTTAAAACAATATTATTTATCTTTCCACAAATCAGTTCCAACAACCTTTCCTCTTGTTTTCTCTCTCTTCCTTCCTCCCTTCCTCCATCCCTCCCCCCCTCTTTGGCAGCCATGGCAACAACTCTTGAAGACAAAATATATATATATATAACCAATTCTTTTTGTGGTGGGATTAGAAGATGTACAGGTCATAGAGTCATTGACCAATGTAAAAAGTGAAGAAAGAGAGAGAGTGTGCGAAGAAGAGAAGAAAGTTGAATATTATTTTAATTTAAAAAGAAAATATAAAAATGAATATTTAATAGAAATAGGAAAAGAATAGAGAGTATTGTTGGAGTATGTATTTGAAAAAGTGATTCCTTAGAATATAAAATATAATTTTTAATTGAAATTTGAGAAAAAATTGAATAATGTTGTTAGAGAAGCTCTAAGGAACTTGGCAATTAGTAAAGGTGTAAAATCGACTCGTTGGCCTGCGGCTCGTCCAGGCTCGAGTCCAACCCGTGACCTTAGGCTTGGGCCTAGTCCGTGTATTTTAGTTCCAGCCAGCTTGAAGCCCGACCCGAGATCAAGCTCACTGGCCTGCTCAAGGCCTAGCTTGCCCGAGGCCCAATGTCATTTTCAAGCTATTTTGGTGAAATTTTTTTTTAAAAAAAAGGTATGCCTAGCCAGGCCCGCCCCATGCTAAAGCCCAAGCCTAGGCCCGCCAGCTCACCCGCAACCCAAGTACCGTTTTGTCACAACCCAAACCCACCCCTATAGGTTTGACATCGTAACCGGCCAATAATTCTGGAATTATCGAAGGCCTCTGAAACAAATTAACAAAATCAAAGGGGCTAGTGTGTGATGATCGGGTCTTTTTTTCTCTCTTTCTTTTCATTCTTTTTGGTTTCGTTTTCTTTTGTTCTCGTTGGGTTGAAACCCTCGGAAATTAGTTCCAATTTAAGGCTTTCGTTCTTGTTTTTTGTCGGTATCAAAGTTTCTTTCTTCCGGGAAGTGCGGAGTCAGGTCCGGAGTGCCCGGGAAGCAAGTTAGAAAACTCTAGGCTGCTAGGCCAGGGCTGCACGTGCGGAGGCCAAGCCGCATGTGCAGGAAGAGGGGAGTTTGGGTGGATTGCATTCTGCTTAAATTACAGGTGCGGAGTAGGTGCGTACGGGAGGGCCGCACGTGCGGGGTTGAGAGCCGCACGTGCGAGAATGAGGCTCCGTACATGTGGGGCACGTGCAGGACTGGCTGGGCAGTTCGAGGCTCTGTTTTTCTATCTCATTTAGGGTTGTTTCTATCTTATTTCCTACACACTCCTCTCTCTCTCTCTTTCTCTCTCTCTAAAAACACTTTTATTTCCCCTTCTAAACCCTAAAACTCTTTGATTCTTACAAATCTTGGGGTCTAGATTCAACATCATCCCTCTCTATTTTGGTGAGCAAGCAAGAACAATATTGTGTGGTGGAGATTGAGCTTTGACAACTTTGGTTTCTAGGGTTTTCCCCTCTCATCATCTCCATTTCTTCATCAAGCTTTCAGGTAGGGTTTCCTTTGAGTTATATATATGTTTATGTAAGTTTTTAGTTGATTGTTGAGCTCCTCTTGTTATTTTCGAAAATGGGCTTGAAGACTCATGAAATTGGTAGTTTTGTGGATTAAACTCTACTTTGTGTTCTTTTAAAGATTTCTCTTGAAATGTTAGGCAACATGGGTTGAGATTAAAGTGTAAAATGGGTTTTGCAAAAGAGATGGAAAAATGTTAGGGTTTTTGCGAATAACTTAGAAATTGGGGGTTTTGGTTAAAATGAGAGAGTTATGGAAATGTTTTGGATTAAATGAATATGTGTGTGTGATTCTACATTGTGTGGTAAGCATGATAACATCTTGGTAAATGAGGGTCTTTGGAAATCAAAACTTGAAATTCCTGCTAAATATGTATATATGTATAATTTTATCCATGCACATATGGTCAAGAATTGTCATATTGTTGAATTCCATGGAATATGAAATAGTAAATCTTGAAAGTAGATGTTCAAAACATGACATGTAATTTTGAAAGAATTACATTGTGGTGAATTGTGCAAAAAGATGAAGTGTCGCTATGTGTTGGTAGCTTCAATTGAATATATGGTCAAGTGTGGAATGACATTGAGAGAAAGAGAAAGGGGAATTATAATTAACATCATGTTGTTGTTAAGACACTTAAAGATGAGAGTTGTTATGTAGCATTGATAACCATTGCATTGCACTCTCTTTAAACTAGTGATTTTGCATCTTGAAATATGTTTGAGAGGCATGCATTGAGGAAACGACAATGTGATTGAAACTATGGA